TTATTATGGGTCAATTCCTGTTATTTTTGTGGCACTCACAGGTCACAAATATTTTTAAACAATGAGGAAATCTCCTGGAAGGAACTGACTAGCACATCTGCCTCACAGTGGCAGGCTAATGGAACAGTCTAAATGGTCCCTTGGTGTGATTGTGAGGACAAATGGTTGTTTGCCTATGTGTGCCCTGTGATTGGCTGGCAACCATTTTCAGGGTGCCCCCCGCCTACTGCCCGAAAACTGCTGGGATAGGCTACAGCACTCCCGCGACCCTTTTGAGGATGAGTGGATTAGAAAATGGATGACTGGAATTTGATTGGACGATTCATTTTGAACCGAGGCCCAGCTGCGGTGAATGGCGCGCTGTCCAGAAACACGTTAATAGTGGGTGTGGCTTGCCAGGGTAGGTATTCGTGTCCTCGAACTCATCCATCTCAATAAAAATGACAACCTAAGCTACCAGTTAGCCAAGCGTCTTCTGTTTCCACAACTACTACTCCCACTTGTTCCCATAGTAGCCTATTCCAAGTATGGAAGGAATTTCTACAGTTAAGACAGTTTAGTCCACTGTTGGCATGTGAGAACCTTGGCCAGCTTCTTGTATTGACAGCATCGACTGAAGCAAGTAACTCCTGGTCCAGTCAACCTTGATTACCTTGAACAGTGGGCTTGAGGGTGCAGACTGTCACCAGTAGAGAGATGAAATTGCTGTTGATTTGGCCTCTCTCGTTTGGTTATTATGCGACATCATGTCCAATGTCAGTCTGTGAGAGGGAAGCCAGGGACGCAAGGAGTGCTGTTGGTCATAGCATGAGAAGCAGGCAAATTATGTTTTACAAACACAGCATGTACTATTTTTTCATGGTTATAAAGAGTCAATCTAGTGGCTTTGCTGTTTAAAAAGGGGGGAAAAAAACAAACCAAGAAAGCTATTGTCTTTCTAATGTACAATTTTTCTCGTGTTTGGACTCGAACTCATTTGAACGATCAATCACTGGCACTTTTGTTGGCAACCGTGTAATTGCGGTCGAAAGTCACCATGTTAGTTCATAACTAGTAAAGCCTTAGCTTGACTACTTCGTCGATGAAAAGAAACTCCACACGCTCTGCTTACTTTTTGCTCAGTTTAGTTACAATTAAATACAATTTGCCCAAAAATGACAAAAATAGGAACGAGGCATAAAAAATAGCAACAATAGAAAAGGGGCCAGAGCAGAGAGGGAGATTAAGATGTAAAAAACTGTCTGGCTCGTCTACTCCTTATTGCCTGATCGCATGACCGCCGTATACAACACAGGTCCTTCCGTACAAAATGGAATCAAATCGGCACGTAAGTAAATAATAAAACCATGGCGTAATTTTCAATATGAAAGCTATATGGAACGTTATGTCCTATGAAATATCCACACATTTTAAATCCAATCAGTATGAAGTATTGACTAATAATATTCCATGATTGTCTGTTTGTTTTGTTTTCAGCCCCAGCTGGAGTGAAGGGCGTTGCCCTCCAGCAGGCGCACCTGTTCAGTATTTACCAATCAAGCCTGCCATGTATTTAAGGACTGCCAAGCTGCCGAGTCTCTTGTCGGATTATTGACCTGGCTCACTCTATTGCTTCAAGTGTTGTTTTCTAGACCTCCTGATAGTCTCCATTGTTGCTCTCGTTATTCATAGATCTTTGGCTTCGCGTTATTGGCTTTTTGAGATTTCGCTTGTTTTGTTCTTGGTGTTTCCCTAGTACCTTACCTATTGCAGGCGCTTCTGTTTATGGATTGTTTTTCCTGGTTCCTTGTGGCAGGCGATTTCTGTACTGTATCTACTTTGGTGGTGCGCTTTTCTGTAAATAAATGTTTTTAATGTACTTGGTCTTAGCCTGCGTGACTGGAATCCAAAAAATATTTTGCGGTTCGAGCCTGACAAATAATCAATTTACGAAGTGTTTTTGTGAACTATCAACATTTTTCCTTGTATATAATGTGAAAAGACTATTTTATCAGAACAAACATAGATCCCCTTCCCCCCAAATATGGACAAATAAGATCAGAATCGGAATCATCTTTATTGGCCAAGTATGTAGAACACACAAAGAATTTGTCTCCGGTAGTACAGGCTACACTAGCATCATCATAAACAAGGACATGACAAATACGTATGGAAGGACATTCCGTAATCTAAGGGTACCATTGTGCGGTGGTACCACCCGATGACAGCTGTGAGACAATGTGCAAAGTATCAAGCAGAGCTAAAGTGATCAGTGGTAGAATACAATACGATAACAGTTGTGCAGTTGGTGCAGAAAATCATTGCACCATTTTAAAACGGTCAGACTCCAAAGCTCTGCCTTCACATGGAGCACTTTACTCAGTGTAAATAGACGGTGAATACATAATTTTTATAGGATTCTGGTTAATTATGTATTCTGCTTATTAAGGTATAACCTCTCCAAGTTGGTTTCCCCGTCAAACGCATTCACATATGCTTACACATCAATTAATCGCTGTGACAGAACATTCAAACACAATGTATTTAACACACCTTCCTGTGGAGGAAGTGTTTCATGGGTTAACCGCTGAGAATAAAACTATTTTAAAACAAAGTGCTGCTATTTCCAAGTACTGTATGCTTGATGATTTTTATTTCTGAGCTGCACATTGTGCGAACAGATGGAGGAACACGCCATCAAGGTTGATGAAGCTTAACAATTTAGGATTGGAATGGAGCCTATTAAACCATTTGCTGTCATCCCATCAGTCCCAGGAGTGATTTATCCCCGGACGAACTCGTTAAATGGGTTTCATCCAAATCACTAAGCATAGGATTGATTTTAGTCTCCAAAAGCTACTTTGTCTGAGGGCAGTGTAACATCCAATAATATGCGGAGTAAAATGTTCGAATTGTGTTTGCCTGCAGTGAATCTGGTGTGGACCAGAGCGATACGTATCATCATGTAATACAAAAATATCTATCATAAGATATACTTGTGTTTTGCTTATATTGTTCTGTTATTTTCGATTTGAGGGAATCCTGTAGTTTATTTTCCTCCCCTTATTCAGGCTTACGCAGAGCAGGGATGGGGACACAGCTGAAAAACGTAATGAAAAAATGTTTGTTTCGTTTTTCGCTGGGCTGTACAGATTTTGTATCCAGACGTGCTAAATTGCTATGCTCAGTACCTCCCACTCCACAAAGCAAAATAAATAAATAAATAAATAAATACCTTCAGGACATGCAGGGACGCCTCACTGGCAAACCCCCTCGTCTTTGATGGAAGGGCTGGAGAGGGAAAGAATGTTCAAAGGGCCCTAATCAGCACAACGTGGGCTTCAGACGGAACAGATAAATAGATCTTCAAACCTCCATTTCTGAGGATGACAATTTTCCAATCGCAGGGCACACATACACGAACAACCATTTGCTCTCACACTCATACCTAAGGACAATTTAGAATATTCCATTAACCTGCCATGCATATTTTTGAAATGTGGGAGGAAACTGGAATACCGGGAAAAAGCCCACACAGGCACAGGAAGCCAGAATTGAACCATACACCTCTGCACTGTGAGGTGAACGTGCTAACCAGTCGACGACCATGCCACCAGAATATGTACAACAAAGTCAATACAATACAGTTTAAAAATAATATTTTATGAACAATTAATATTCTCAGATCTTAATGCACCAGTGAATCGACAGGTACGGTGGTCACATCATATGTGACGATATGCAAGTAGTTAGCTGGCCATATATATAAATAAATACATGCAAACGCACGCACACACACACACACACACACACACACACACACACACACACACATACACGCACAATGTTTTCTTTTTTTTCTTTTTTTATTTTAATCCACTCAAAGTATTGGACTGAATGTCCCGCTTTTCCCAAGTAGATCATATTGGAACAGTCCCAGATTGATCCTGTGGAGCATGGGTCACCATTTTAAAGCTGAGAGCTACTTATTGGCTGCTGAATAGTGCGAAGGGCTACCAGTTTGATACACACTTTTGCAAGAATATATTTGCTCAAATTACGGTTAATGTTATGTTATGTTATGTTATGTTATGTTATGTTACGTTATTAAGTCTGTGAAAAAAAGAATTGGATAACTCGGCTAATTCAACCACAAAAATTGGTTGACACGAAATTTGTTCTTCTCCAAAGGAGTTGTAATTGCCTAAATAAACAATGGAATAATCAATACAATAAAAAATTCTCCAAAGATTCATGAGTGACAGCACATTTATTTATATGAAGACACTCATCATGTTGAAGATTTCAGTTAGGAAACTTGTAAATACCAATATGCAACACATTATCTCTGCCAGTTCCGAGAAAATCACAATGCCACATCACTCGTAAGCTACTCTTGGAACAGACTCTCGGGCTTCTCATGTGATTCTCAGGGCCTACCTGGTACCCACGGGCACCATGTTGGAGAACTCCTTTGAGGATTCACTTAATGATTGAGTGATTAAATCTAAATTAAGATGGCTCTTGCTAAGAAGAGGATTAGGGCCAATGAAGAAAAAAAAACAAGGTTGGCAAAATTCTCACTTTAATCTCAGAATTTTGCCAACCTTGTTTTTTTTGTTCTTCATTGGCCCTAATCCTCTTCCGTAAGGTTAGACACTTGTATAATTGGAGCAAATAATACGGTAAGACGTCATTTATCACAACTTAATGCCATTTAAGCAGGTTGTCGGTATTTTTGAAAGAGTTTTATACGATCCTTGTGCGTTAGAATAACTACCGGAAGTTACCCCCCCCCCCTCGCCCCCAGCCCAAATGCGCAAATGGTGCGTGCATAAATTCTCATGTGAACACTTTGACAAATGTTCGACCATGCAAATGTTGACTGTTTGGTGACGAGGTGTGGCTCTGCATTTATTTAATTTTGTTTGTATTTCTAAATGAGCTGGACGAACAGGCGCTCCCGTGTCTCTCTCTCTCTCTCTCTCTCTCTCTCTCTCTCTCTCTCTCTCTCTCTCTCTCTGTCCACCCCGGGTCTCCCTGTGTGTGCCGCCTCCCACCTCTTCCACTGCACCTGCTCCTCCCCATCCTGCCTTATTACCCTCATGTTCTCTCCAAGTGATGCTTCTCAGCTGCGGGAGCGAGTGGCGGAGAACCCCACTCGTAGGACCGATCTCTTGGGATTATTTTCGCCCCGTTAGAGTCACAGTATTGACGGACGAAGGATTCTAGACATGTGGACTTCTCCCGAGAGTCAGCTGGAAGTGGACACGGACACATTGTGACAGGGGAGGATAGTGACTTCTGGGAAACAGGACCGCCCGGAGCGTGGAGATCAGCCGACGTTGGTGGCACAGAAAGAACGAGTAACAACATGATTTTTGACTACGGTAATTGAAAAAAAAAGAGAGCGACAGAGAGGGTCGGCAGTTTGCAATGAAGTAACTAGAAGAGTGCAAGCTCGATAACTTCGCCATGAAATCAGTGTTCTTCAGCCGATTCTTCATCCTGCTGCCTTGGGTCCTTATAGTCATCATCATGATCGATATCGACAGCAAAAGAACGATCTGGACTCCGATCGGTGTTCCGCGCAGCAGGGCGCAGCTTGCGGCCCGAAAAGCGGGGCTCGGTGGCCCTAAGAACCACTCTGCCCTGCCGGTCATCTACGCCATAACTCCCACTTACACGCGACCCGTGCAGAAAGCCGAGCTGACACGACTGGCGCACGCTTTCCGCCAGGTGCCTCAGTTCCACTGGATCGTGGTGGAGGACTCCACAGTGCGCACGGATCTGGTGAGCCGCTTCTTGGCTCAGTGCGGTGTGCCTTACACGCACTTGCACGTCTTCACGCCGCGCAGGTTCAAACGCGCTGGGATGCCCCGTGCCACCGAGCAGAGAAATTTGGCCCTGGGCTGGCTCAGGCAACACCGGACACGCCGGGACGCCGGGGTGGTCTTCTTTGCGGACGATGACAACACTTACAGCCTGGAGCTGTTTCAAGAGGTGAACCTTTTCACATTTTCATCACAGATAGTCTTTTATTGGACTTGAATAGACTTGACCAGCGGTGTATAAAGCATGGTAATTCACTTTCTGTTCAATAACTTACTCAACATATTTCTACATGATCGGGTTCAACAGTCGAACATAAATGAGAGAATTAATACCTTGACTGTATTATTCAAAAATACGAATTCCAAAAATAAATGCAGATGGGTGGCTACTATATGGGATATTCTAACTTTAAAACAACAAGAATTCATACTGTACGAATTAACCAAACCCGACCGATGGTCCAGAAAATTGATGGATGGATGGATACTGTGTTGTATTCGCTGCTTGTATGTTTGCGCTGACTCGTCCTCCTGCATTTAAATCACTACAATTTTATTATAAGCAGTTTATGACCTACTTTGCCACTCAATGACCTGTGAACATGCTTATATATCTTATAGTTATATGAATAACGCCAGCACACCTCATTTGTTTTGTGTGCAGTTTGTATGTTGCGCGGGTGGGCTCATACTGTGTGTGTGAGTGTGAGTGAGAAGCCTTGTTTGCTGGCAACCAGACCAGGAAACCTATGATCCACAGTTAAATGTAAGAGGCACGGCTCATCTGTGACCTCGATGGGGACAAGCGATATAAAAAAACAAATATGGATGGGTGGATTTGGATTGTTTTTAATTGGTGGTATGGTTAAATCGATTTAATTAGCATATCTGCTCACGTTGTATACATATTCATGTCACATACATGTGCCAGTACAGGGAAGCAAACAAACATGTCTGACTATATCCATCCGTCGGCCCCTCAAGCTACTCTGGTTGCTCCAATAACCCTATGGGAGTCCTTCCAACTATTTACAGACTGTTCATATGCTTTTTTTTTTTTTTGCTATTAGCCATCATTTTGTTTTCGTGGCGCAGATCATTGATGGAGAAAGCAGATGAGAGATGAAAGGAGATTTTACGCATGTGCACGGACATGGCGGAGTTAAATCACAGCACCACCTGGCCTGCATACACCATAAAATTCCACACACTCTCACATCACCGTATGCATGCATATTTTCTCTGGTAAACGCTCATTTTAATGTGAAATAAAAAGTGGAGTGGACTTCTTTGTGCTGATCCTTGGCGCAAAAAAGTTTGGAGATCACTGCACTATGTAGTGTCTCCTGAGCCAAGTTGAGGAGCGCCCAAGCGTCATTCCACCCATCACTGCATACCAAGAACATTATCATGAAGTCCGTTTTTTTAAATACAAAGCTTTCTTTCAAATGTAATACTGCTGGAATCTAACAGATGATTTGCATGTTCTCCTTGTGCCTGCGTGGGTTTTCACTGGGTACTGCGATTTCCTCCCACATTCCAAAACCATGCATGGCAGGTTAATGAAACACTCTTAAGTTGTCCCGAGGTGTGAGTGTGAGCGCGGATGGTCGTTCGTCGGCGTGTGCCCTGCGATTGGCTGGCAACCGGTTCAGGGTGTCCCCCGCCTACTGCCCAAGGACAGCTGGGATGGGCTCCAGCACACCTGCGACCCTTGTGAGGATAAGCGGGTCAGAAAATGGATGGATGTTCTTGGCCATGGGGCAATTAATGTCAAAATTAGAGGCTGCAATGAACCTGGACTGGACAGCAGGGCTGTAGTACTCGAGTCTGGATTCGACACGTGTTTTTGTTGTCTCGGACTTGCTATTTGAATCGGACTTGTCTTGGACTCAACCAATGGACTCGACTCAATCAAGACCAACTATGTTTTAATTCCTGAAAATTAATGTCCTCCTTCAAAAGAAATTTGAAGTAAAGTTTTTCAGATTATGGAACTAGCCATCTGATGGGTTAATGTGACTGCACAGGTGTCATAGACAGCAAACCCTGCTGCAGTGTTGCGTCCATCGTAATTCATTAGCTATTTCAACGCTGTTTTGTAGCCACCTCGTACTGCTCGGTGTGGTTTGCTGCTCCCCGGTTCCCCATCTTCTCCTCGTCTCTCCCCTCGAGGTGGACTACCAATAATACAGCAATATTGTTTTTGCAATTGTTTTTGTTGTCGATCTGCACACACGGTTAATCAAGCAAAGGATTCCATGCCATCTCAGAAGAGGCTTGAGCGTAATGAAATGTCTCTAATTTTGTGATCGAGAAAACGGTAGTTTTATATCGTAAGGTTTACACTTGGTCTCATCTGGATTTGGACTCGGACCTTGTGGTGACGGACTTGACTTGGACTCGATAAAGATGGGCTTGAGTACAGCCCTGCTGGACGGAGAGCTGATTGAACAAGAAGGCAAACCAACATACACAAAGGAAATCATCTAATAAACAGCTTCAAGTAACTTCTTCCTCTTTTTCCATGACTTTTGTGGCTCTGTTTTGACACCGGATGCCTTTCCTGACACGATATCCCGTTTTGAGAAAAGCACTGCTCATCCCGAGTAGTGCGGTGATGAGGTATTTGCCATGCAGCAACTACGTTAACGGCATGCAAATGTACAATGTGTTCCCGTCGCAACTGTGCCTCAACTCTCCTTAAATATAGAATCCACATCAGCAAGAAAGAAAAGCCGAGCCTACTGAAGAGCAACTCCCGCATACAGAGCTGCAAGTGGGCTTAAGCATGTGCATTTTAGTCTAAACCATTTAGGGTTCAAGGTTTTTGTTGGTGCTCGAAATCCTCAAAAAGGAAAGCTGTATGAATTCAATTACTCTTTGTCAAATCTTAACCTCGACCACAATAAACATTTGTGCTCTACCATGTATCATCGCTTTGAATTAGCCTCTTTTAGATGTTTCAGGCCCATTTCCATATACAGTCTAAGCTTTGCCATTGGTTTTACAGACAGATGCCCTTCCTCACTCCAACTCTCCCTATTTGGACGGCCTTAGGAGTGACAGTAAATTGGGCTAAGCTTGGTTACCCTGCTATGTCGTGCTTTGGTTATTGCGGCTTTAGTCTATCGTCGAGGTTTTCATATGTCACCATGTCACCTCTTGCGGGTTTATTTTGCTTTTTTTTTTGTTTTTTTGCTTTAGATGCAAAACAGTTTTTTATGAACTTTTATTGATGAGCTTCATGCTGTCAATTTACAGATATGTGTATTCTTGTCACATCTGACCAATGAAATTATTAAACGCATGGTAATCTCCCAATGAAACTGTCCCAATTCGCCCTCATACTGAATATTCGTATCAGGCATTTGCATATTCCAGTAGGAGGCTCTGATGACAAAATATTTTCCCAAAACCAGCTTACAAGAGTAAATATTGCTGAAGTTTGCCAGTGGATAGTCCTGACAGCTTTGAGGAGTGTCAAAAAAAAATAAAAAATCCAACGTCGTTTTCCAAACAAGCTTTGAATAGCTGCAGGTCTCCGTGATGAAGCAGCTTGCTTTTCGACACCCAAGAAGAGGGCTTTGATGTTTTTAGTACACAGTATACTATTTATTGTTTTAATTGTTGAGATGTGTTGAGCCTCTTAACATGTCATCATCAGCAGCTCTCTCGTTCCCTCTTTCTCCCTCTCTCACTGATAACTGCGCACTCATACTTTAGTATGTTTGCATGTTCCCTGATGAGGTGAAACCATGCACTTCCAGGTTTCTTCGTATTTAGAAGGAAATTCACTTATCGTGGTCATGGGTCATGTCACCTGCTATAACTGAGGGACCACCGTAATACAAAAATCAGTTTAAATAAGAAAAAAAAAGAATACAAATTCCTGATTCACTTTGTTGGTTAAGTGTATTGTATGTATATGAGGCATCTTTATTTTTTCAAAAAGTAATTACGTCGAACAAAAACATGTAATCTCAAATAAATATGAAGAGACTGGATAGGACTCCACCACCAAATCATCAGGTAGCGTATTATTTCAAGGCTAGTAACATAGGCATGATGGAACACAACAACAAGAGTAGTGAAGCAGTTTAGTCAGTGGCGGACCCTGAGGGCCAGCAAGGCCTTCTCTGCTGGCCTAAACATTCTCATAAAAGTAAATTTACTTTTATGTATTTTATGTTATTTTATAATTTATGTTATTTATTTTCATAAATATGTAAACAAAATTATTATATTTATTAATAATAATAATAATATATTAATAATATATGGAAATAATAATATATTATTTCCACTTAGTTGAGTGGCTGGTATTTTTAATAACATTTAAAACCA